AACGCCTGAAGCTGATCAGCCACCACCCTCTCGACTACCTTGCTTAAGAAAGAAACATTGGCGACGGGCCTATAATTGCCAATTTCGTCCGCCGAAATATTACGTTTCTTTCTAATGGGCCTAATGAGTGTCTCCTTGAGGGCAGATGGAAACCTGCCCTCAAGGAAAGACCCATTTATTATTGCTGTGGCCCATTCTGTTGTTTTGATTTGAACTAGCTTTCCCATGGTGGACTGTTCCATTTATTAGCATACTGGTGTAACACTGTCAGTTAATCTGCCAGTGGAGAAATGACTGCAAGATAGCACATTTTCTCCCTCTGTCTTGAGCATTGGTTCTACCTGTGTGCCCTAACCACCTGTAATAGATCTATTGGCAGTGATGTTGGCAGCAGCTAGAACAAGAGTAAGTAATTTGTGGCCCTCCCCTGTCTTGCTGGGCTGCAACATCCATTGTCCTTCACCACTCTTGCTGCTGGCTAAGGCTGATGGGAGTTGTACATCTGGAGGACCACAAGTTGGCCACCTCTGAGCTTGAATTAACCAAGACAGCCAGTTTAGGAGAGTATCCAAAAACCATCATGGTTAAGCAGGAAGCAAACATGTGATTTTGTCCTCCGCTTCTCATTGCTTAAACAGTTGCCGTGCTGCATCACATATCAAAGTCTGAGCAGTGGAATTCAAAGAACCACACTTAGATTTCTGCCACTGGCCTCCCTGGCCTGCAAACAAGAGTCAGATTGTAGTCTCCTGCTGTACGTAGTATTGTTGGCACCCACAAAGTTGTGTATTAAGGTGCTAGGTTTTGAACCATAATTTTTTTGGAGTCCTACCCTTGTGCATGCCTAGGTTAGAGTGATCCGAGGGTTCTCGTCCCCAAAACTGACATTCCAAGCAGTGTCAAGGTTGGCAGAGAAGCTGAGAGTTTTTGACACTGTGTCCAAGGTGTGGAAAGTGCTATTTAGCAGAAGTAATGAGGGAGTAAGCTGCACGAGCAGTGATCCAAACTTGCTATGGGGCAAGAGAAACAGGTGCCAGGTCACTAAGAGGTCATGCTTCTCCTCTGTAGGTGAAGAAAGTAGTGAAAACCATGACCACACGCACGGTGCAGCAAGTTCCGGTTGGTCCAGATGGGTTGCCTGTGGATGGCTCTCCAGTTCCCAACAACTACATTCAGACCATTGATAGGAACTTCAGGAAAAACACCAACGGTGGCCCTGGTGCCTACATGAGCCAGCCAGGCACAGCTACCCTTCCCCGTAACTACCACTACCCAGATGGTTATGGCCGCCCCTATGAGGATGGTTATCATGGCAGTGAACACAATTATGGCAGCCTGTCCCGTGTGACCCGCATCGATGAGCGCTACCGTCCCTCCATGGATGGCTACCGGGCTCCCAGCCGCCAGGATGTCTATGGGCCTCAGCCGCAGGTGCGGGTTGGGGGAAGCAATATGGACTTGAACCGCTTCCACCCAGAGCCTTACGTGTTGGAGGATGACCAGCGCAGCATGGGCTACGAGGACCTGGATTATGGCACAATGCCAGACTATGGTACAGCCAGACGGACCGGGACTCCCTCTGACCCCCGTCAGAGGCTAAGGTAGGACTATCAGGATTGGGATGTTCTGGCATTTCTGCTGTGTTTTTAGAAGCATAGCCTAAATCTTAGGAAAATGCCCTGTGTTGAGTCAGACCATTGTTCCATTTAGCCCTCTACTGTTTGCTATGTCTGGCAGAACCTCTCCAGAGTTTCAGGTAGGATCCTTCCCTAGCCCTACCCGGAAGCTCTTGATGTATCTGAATAGTCCCCAACCAGGACTTAATCAGGCTGGGCCCTCCTTAGCTCCTGAAATCAGCCAAGATTAATATCTTCAGGGAATCAATGCTGGACCCTTGCACTTGTGTCCTTTCATTAGCAATACAGTGGAGAAGACTCTTTCCCTGTTACCCTTTGAGGTGCTGGTGTAGTTTCAGAGCTTTGAAGCTCTACTATACGCTGTTCATCTTTAGGGATGAGCGGTATTTTCCTGATATTAATCCATCTAATGGTGATGGGTATTCACTGAAATATAAGACAAGCACTGTAGCCAGTTAAGGGAATTATGATTCTTGTCTCATCCCCCAGTTTCTCTGTATCAGGAGTCTGTTCTGTTTTGTGATATTTTTCTCAGCTTTCCTTCCCATGCTTTCTTCCCATCCTCTTCCCAGTAGATAGTACGTACTAGGAACAGTGGGGCCAGCTTCCTGTGGGCCTTTCTCCTGCTGCTCCTCTGCTTGACACAGCTCAACTGGGCAAGCTCCCCTTTCCCTGTGGCCCTGAGAAACTTGTGTGAGAGGTAAAGAGGACAGTGTGGAGGGCAGAGAACCTGCCCTCTTCTTATCAAAGATACACAGAGATATTTCTGAGGGAAGGAGACCCACGACCTAAAAGTTTCCCTGATCTTGTGCTATATGTACTGTATCTAAGTTTGTCTTGCTGAGTAGAACAGATTCCAGAACTAGCCATCTGTTTCAAATTTCACTTCAGGTTTTAGGGACGGATAGATGTTTTTTTATTTTTATCAGTTCCCTACACTGCTGCTCCTCTCCTTCAGCTCCCTCCCCCCCTTTTTTAAAAAAAAATCCTTTAGTATGTCACACCAGGGAAGCTAGTGTGAGGACTAATGCTCCCTGGACCATGTTTGTATACGAGGCTCCCTTTTGAGGTAATGCAGTTCACACAGTGTGGGAAGTGTTGCATCAAAACTGCATTGAGCTGCCTGGTTGCCTCAGCAGTGCAGAACATAGCGATGTAGGACTAGCTCTCGCCAGTGAAATAAGCCTGGGTGGTATTAGATGGGACTGTAACAGAGAGGGGGGGAGAGGGGGGGAGTGGAACTACCTAAAATAACAACATCAGCAAAAACTAGTCTAGCCTTCTTCCCAACATTTTGGTTCCTGTGTGTAGGAACTTTATTTTATACATTTAGAGGCATCTTTGGTCCCATAGGCCCTGCCTGTAACTAAAGGAGGTACAGCTCAGATCACTGTGGTGAGCATGAACACCCTAAACTAGCATAGGGAACCTGTGGCTTTCCAGATGTCAAGATTTGACGGCCACTCCCAGTATCCCTCACCATCCACTATGTTGGCTACGGCTGTTGGGAGTTGCAGTCTGGAGCACCACAGGTTCCCTACCTCTGCCCTAAATAAATTTGAGAGAAAAGTATTTGTCTTCTACGAGTTACTTGCTGGACAGCATTTCCGCCCCAACGAACCTTCCTTAAATGGCTTACTGTATGCATCCCACCTGATGTGTGCAGACTTGTAAAGCGGAATAGATCTGGTGATCTTGCATCAGACAATGAAGCGTGTGTCCTTTTCTTTGCCCTTAGTCGATTTTTGCTTGAGGCTGGTGTCACGGCTGAATTTTGGATGGAAAATCCCCACTTCAGACCTCTCCCTCAGCGAGGCATTACTAAGTGATCTTACGCAAAGCAGTCCCTTGTCTGTCCAGCAGAGATCATGCTAGCTTGTTTTGCAGATTGGTTGGATAAAATTACTGTGAGTACCTGCAAGAGGTACCCTAAGGTGCTTGTAAGTATCAATAAATCGTCAGTGTATACTGTAGAAAAAGCCAGTGTGGTGCAGGAGATAGAGTGATGAACTTAGGAGTAGAGAACTTGAAAGACTTGAGTTCATATCCCTGCATCGCCATGGAAAATGAATGGAGGTGGCAATATTAAAACTCCTTAAATATCCCACAGCCTTCTCACATACAATTTGACATAATGCCTTGGCGAGAGGGCCATAAATTGGGTGTGACTTGATGGCATACAAGAACAGCAGGCTTGTTGTTGTTACGTGCTATTAAATTGCCTTTGACTCATGGTGATCCCATGAAAGAGCAATCTTCAATATGTCCTGCCCTCAACAGTCCTAATCAGTTCTTACAAACCCCAAGCCTGTGACTTCCTTTAGGGAATCAGCCCATCTCATATTCGGTCTTCCTCTCTTCCTGCTGCCTTCAACTTTTTCCCAGCATTGTCTTCCAGATGAGACGGCCCAAAATGAAATGTTTATGGTAGTAGTAATATATAGTATTCGTCTTCCTCTGACTGTTAAAGGTGCTTTAAGCTAGGAGCGACGGAAGGCTTTGCCCTGCTTTGCTTTGGCAGCTGTTTTGCAGGCTTGCCAGAGCCAAGGGGCCCCGTAGCTATCTGTTGCATGCAAGTGGCTGGTGGCTGGTTATGGAGATGCTCAAAGCTTTCTGTCTCCCAGTACGAGATGCTAAAGCAAGGAAGGGGAAACGTTGGCCCTCTTGATGTTTTAGACTGCAGCTCAATGTAATCACTTGCCTTTGGCCGTCCTGTTTGGGTGGTTGGAGTCAAAAACATCTAAAGAGTAAAAGGTTTCTTGCCTCTGGTGTAAAGCTTTGCCCTTGAATTACTGAATCTCTGGTGACTGTTGGACAATCCTGGAGATACGAAATTGGAACGCGCAATAAAACACGCACCGTACCCCATGATTTACTAGTCTGTTTTTTTTGGGGGGGGGTTGTTAGTAGAAATGTGCAGTTTTCCTCAGTGCACACAAAAGAGAAGGATGTGGTTGTGGCTTCTAGTAAAATGAGGCCGGGCAGTGACTATTTATTTGGCTCTCTTTCCATCCCTCTTCTGTGGTCTCAGTCTGTTTTCATACTCTTTGCTTCCCCTTCGCCCAGAGGCCTATGTTTTAGTTTGCCACCCTTAATCCATGATAATGCTAGAACGTTCCATTTCTGGCCACCCCTTCCATTTTATATGCTGCAGCTGCTATAAAGGATGTTTATGGGAAGTATGCAGATTGACCAATCTGTGCAATCCTCCTCCCTTCTTGAACTGGGAAGAGGTAGAATCCCAGGCCCTTTTGTTAAACCTTGAGGTATGTCCCTTTCTGACTAGAACAGTCTGGGGTGGTAGCTTCTGATGCCTCTGAGCTGAAGTCTGGAATAGGTGAAGGGAGGTTGTTAACTTAGCTATTAATTTACCCGGTGTGGTGATTTTTCAAGCAGAATGTTGAGTATTTTTTTCTTTAAATAAAACAGTAAATATTTTCAGAACTGATAAAATGCTTAGATTGATAGCAATAAGACCGAAAGCCTGCAAAACATTTGAACCTGTTATTTGAGAGCCTGTGAATAACTTGTTCCAGTTTTGGCCTCCTTCTCTGGTTGTTAGACCGGATGTGATGCAGAATGGCTGTGATCAGGATCTCTGTAAGGTTCTCGAATAATAAAAGCTACAACATCCAGTCACCAAATCCACTTGAGACTGCTCTGTTTTGAGGGAGGGATTATCCTTCCTCCTCCAAATGAAGTCCCTAATCACAACTGCTCTTAAGCATGTGTGGTGCCTGCTGGAGCTTTGGTAGTGAAGGACGGAGACCCAGGAATAATAGCTGTAAGTTCCCTCTCAGCACACCAAGCAAACCCCTAAACAACATAAATTGTGAAAGCCGTCGGGAGAGGTGGCCATGAAGTTCTCATTCCACATCCTTAATCTGAATGTTGAGGTTGCTTTGGTGCCTCTTGTTTTGAACAGAGGGGGAGAAATAGATCCTAAATGTGGATCTTCCATATCGCCTCATACCAGCTTGGCCCTTTTTTTTCTGCTGAAAAGTTCCTCCAGTAACTATTGCATCAAGCTGCTGCAGGGGAAATGAACAAAAGGTTCCTTTGACGAAACCCCCCTGATCAGACTTCTTCCTTCTCCGGCTGCCATCTGGAAGCACATCATGTGTCAGCAAAGGGAACAGAAGAAGGCATGGTCACTATTACTTCTGCTGAGAAATCCCCACATCATGCTCTGCTCTCCTCCAGCTGTCACTGCGTAGCAGCCACTACACCAGCTGTCAAAGTACTTCAGCCAGTTGATGATGGACCTCAGCGAAGCCAGAAATGGAAAGAGTGAAGACTCGATAGAGTCTGAGTACCGTGCAGGCAGCCGGAGCGATGGCCAGCCATCAGGAACCACTGCCCGCTGCCAGTTGGCCAGGGGAGCCGACAGAAGGATTGTTGTTATTGTCGTCGTGGCACACACGATTGATGAATGTCCACACACCACTTCAAGTGGAGACTCTCAGGGCAGCTATAATTTGGACAAAAAGTGGGATAACAAATTTCACAAAAAGTAATCATTCCTGAAAAACTCTGGTTAGATCTAGTCCTCTATTCCTAAAACAAAAATAAACGTCTAGGGTCTTAGCGGCTGTGGATTGTGGCTGTTGAAATGAACTTGCGAGCAATATTGCCTCTTGAACGTGGCCAGAGAAGTGAATGATTAAACAGCTTGCCTGCCTTCACTGTAGTATAAAAGTGCCATTTGCTTTCTGTACTGCACCAGGCTGACTCGTGACCACATAATTAGTACTGTTATAAAAGCTGCTCCAACGGAACCTGCGTGTATGGATTTCGACCTCTGGCCATCCATTGTGAAACTGCTGTGCTCTGTGCAGACTGATAAACATTGCAGAAATCTGTGGAATCCATGTATTTGTTGCAGTTGGCTCCTCATTTCTGCCGCCTTAATTACCACCCTGACCCTGGAGCCTTGTTTCCTTGTTCCCCACCCTTCTTCTCTT